GACTGACGTGAGCAGTGACGAATAAGAAGTGACAGAAACAAAAGGCGCCTTCAAACGCGGAAACGCGGGGACACCGGGACCGCACCGGGCGCCCCCCCGACTTTATTGCCCGCAGCACCAGCAGCGCGGCCCGCACCCCCCCAGTCTCAGCTCTCCAGCGGCGGCCTCCGGAGCAGCTTCCGCACGGGGGAGTTCTCCAACTGCCGAAAAGTCCTCCTGGCTGAAAACGGGAAGAAAAACCCCTTAATTGGAAGAAACACCCGTTAATCCCCGTTAACGGCCCCTACGGGGGCTTCAAGCCTTCCCGGTGCGCCCCCTCCCGCTTACCGAGCTGCTGCGACAGCCCCCGGAGGTAGCGCTGGCTCTCCTCGCCGAAGGCCTGCAGCAGCTTCACCGCTTGCTGGAGCTCACCGAGCTGCGGAACCAAACCATTAACCACAGAAAAAGGGCCAAAAATGCCCAAAATCCGGGTTTTTTGGGGTTTTTTTCCCCCTCACCACCAGCTCCATGCAGCTCCAGACCTCCCCCTGCTCCGCCAGCAGCTGCTGGTAGTTGGGTTTGGTGCTGAGAACCTCGGCCTGAGAGGTTTGGAGGTAGGGGAGGGGCTCTGCCTGCCCCTTCTTCTTCCTGCACTCCTCCAGCTGCCTGCAGAATTAAAGAATTCATTTCTACTTAAATAATTCCTTCTTATTTAAATAATTCCTTCTTATTTAAATAATTCCTTCTTATTTAAATAATTCCTTCTTATTTACATTTTCTTTTCAAAAAGCTCTAGGGTATCTGAATTTTTGTCAAGAAGCAGCCTGAAAAACTCTCTCAGCTCTTCCTGGGAAGCCAATTATTGTTAGCGCTCGATCTGGGATTTAAATAGGTCTCAAAATCCATTTTTAACTTCTATAAATGACAAAATTTATTATGATCTAAACAATTATTTAAGTTATTAATAGCTCTGTGTCTGGATTTATGTTATAATAGCGTGTGAAGGATAAAAGGGGCCACAATGGACACAACGAGCTTAAGTTTTTCCCAACCAAATTCTTCCGATTCTGTATTTGTGTTGTTTTTGTCATTTTATTCACGACTTTAATTATTTTATCCATGTTTGTGCTGCTTTGGGAATTACTTAGAGCCCCACCTGGCCATTTCCTCAGCGCTTTCCTGGTGCTGCTGCAGGAGCCGATCCCAGGACTGCGACTCGGCCGTGAACCTGTGGAGAGAGCGGAGTCGCAGCTCAGCCTTCCCGAAGCTCAAGGGCCACGCAGGATTGTGGAAAAGGATTAAATCCACCCAAAAATCCCCTGGCAGGAGGGGTGGGATCTCACCTGGCAATGAGCTCCTTCACCTGCGCCAACGACTCGTCCAAGGCTGAGTCCGGTGAAATCCTAAAGCAGGGAAATAACGTCAGCATGAGATGGGGGAAGAGAGAGACGGGGTTGGGGGGAGAAAGAGATGAGGTTGGGAAGAGAAAGAGACGGGGTTGGGGGGAGAGAGA